TGGCATATCAGTCCACATGGCCTGCCTTGGCTATCCCAGAGTGAAAATGTTTTGGGCTAGAAAAACCAAAGTACCAGTCATTAGCAAGAAGATGATAAGGGACAGGTTCTACAAGCTAAGAAGGTCCCTTAAGATTGTCAGTGACCTGGATGTGAGTGAAGAGACAAAGAAGTCAGACATTCTTTGGAGAGTCAGACCATTGTTTAACCATGTGAGGCAAGGTTGTCTCAGCCTTCCAAGGTGTGATAAAGTGTACATTGATGAGCAAATCATCCCATTCACAGGCTGTTGCCCAGTCAGGCAGTATGTGCCAGGAAAGCCAAACCCTACCTGCCTGAAGGTCTTTGTGCTTGCCTCTCCAAATGGTCTCATCCTTGATTTTGAGGTTTATCATGGCAAGAACACATTCAGGGGCCAAAGACTGGGAGTTGGAGCTGCAGTAGTTTTGTGAATGGTCGCGTCTGTTCCTCGAGGAACTTGTGTGTTCTTTGATCGATACTTCACAACAATCGATCTCATGGACGCTTTGCTGTCAAAGGGTCTTCCAGCAACTGGAACTATTATGAAGAACAGAATTCCAAAGACATGGCAGCTACCAGCAGATAAACAGCTGAGAAAGGAAGGGAGAGGGGTTTCAGTGATGTTGGTCAGGAGGGAGCCAGAGCTGGCACTGATGAAATGGTTCGATAATAAACCAGTTCTGATTGCCTCCACTGTCTATGGCAGAGATCCAGAGGATATCTGTAGCAGATAGTCCAACAAAGACAAACATCATGTCCCAGTGCGACGGCCAGCAGTAATCAGAGAATATAATGACAACATGGGTGGCGTAGACCTTTGTGACAGAATGCTGAGCTTCTACCGAATGTCAACCAGGACGAAGAGGTGGACATCACGTGTGATGATGCGTTTCTTTGATGTTGGCATCACAAATGCTTGGATTCAGTACAGGTCTGACAGTATAGCGCTGAATCGACCAGCTAAAAACACAGAGCAGTACCTGGACTTCAAACTGCATCTGGCTGAAGAGCTGATGGATAGTCCAGCATTTCATGACAGCAGTGAAGACAGTGAGGAAGAGTATTAGCCACCAACCAAAACAAGGATTCCACAACCAGAGCCATCTGTACGCAGACTATGAGCTAGACACATGCCAGAGATGATGGACATAAAGCATGCGGAAAGATGCAGGAACAAGGGCTTATAGTCTTATAGTTTATTGTTGAACTAAATACACGTATTTTTGCTGTTGCAAGCAACAAACAAAAGAAGGATTTTACAGAAT